TGCAAAATTAAATGTAATGAGTATGTACTTGCACCTTCTGTTCTGTGCAGATAAGCTTTATGTAAAGGATGGGAAAACAGCAGCTGTTCATACAGCATCACCTGTGTGGGGGAGGTGGCGCTGTCACTGCATTAGAGGAAAGCCAGCCCCCTTCCACTGCGGAGAGTAAATGCTGTGCCAAAATCTAACTTCATGTTGAGGTTGGTGGTGCAGGCCTGTAATCCCAGCACTCAGGAGCCCGAGGCAGGATGACCACTGCAAATTTGTAGCCAGCCTGGGCTACAAAAGTGAATTCAAGGCCAACCTAAACTACATAGCAAGATCCTGTCTCAAACAACAATAACACAAAAATAAAAATGAAACCAGTTTCATACAGAAGTCCATATAGTTGCTAATACCCTTTAGTCAGTATTAACATTTTACATTTTATAGTTGTAAAGCTTGTCTTTGTGTTCTGTTGGAAACTTCATTTCAATCTCCAAACTAAGATTACAGTTTTTTGTTGCATCTTCTGATCCTCTCGTGATAACTAATATTTAGTTTCATCTGTAACTGTGTTATATACTTAGATGTATTTTAGCATATGATGACCCTTTGAAGAGCAAACTTTATCTTACTTAGAAAACTGAGGTTTAGAAAGATTGAGTAATGTGACTGAGGTGTGACAGCTAATAACAAAAGCTACTTGTTTTCTCTTTTTCCCCCAGGACTGGGGACTGAACCCAAGGGTGCTCTACCACAGCCCTTTTTGTTTTTTGAGGACCTGAACTTGCAATCCTCCTGTGTCAGCCCTCTCGGTGGCAGGAATCAGGTCTACACTGCTGTGCCTGGCTGCTTTCTCTGCTTTCTTAGGGCTGAACTTATAATATCTGTATATATAAAAATGTAATTGAATACCATAAGTTTTTTTCTGAAAGATTTCTTGGTTTTCTTTTTTATAAGTGTGTCTTTAAGGTTTTTGATGAGAAATGAAAATATTTTGTATATTCTGAATTTATGACTGTTTTACATTATAGTATAGTGTTCATTTTAAAATGAAAGTTAAATGCCACATGTGATGGATCAGAACTGTAATCCCAGCACTTGGGAGGCAGAGGCAGGAGGATCTCTGTGAGTTTGTAGCCAGCCTGGCCTATTCAAGGCCAGCCTAAACTACATAATATGACCCTGTCTCAAACAGACCAAAAAACAAAACAACAACAAAAAAAGACCAGGAAGTTACCTGAAAGTGGAAATGTGGAAATTTTGGGAGACTTTGGACAAACCGTGTAATTTATATCTAGTGTCAGGAGTACACTTACTACCATAATTTCTGCAGCTTGCCGCAGTAAGCCATTTAGTGGTGCAACTGGCTGCTGCCTTGCTCTTTGCAAAGTCTGATTCTTGCAAAATCCACACTGTACTGTTTCATAAACCCTGAGACCACAGTCTCAGATGGTGGTTGGCTCTTACAAGGTAGCCGTGTTGTAAAGCTTTGTGGCACATAGTGGAACACTAACACCAAGAGTGACACTTTCTGATGGCTGTTAGCCTCTCAGAAGTGACATTTACTAGTGGTAAATTTCCTGTGGCGTCAGGTCTACAGTGGCGTAAGGAATGTGTCACAGTACAAGGATGATGTCTGTCATTTCCAATTTTGTTGGTTTTACTGAATAAATATATCCTGGATGGCAGCATATTACTTTTGACAAGAAATTGAGTTCACTTCTGAGTTAGATGGTACAACCTTATTAATCTTCCACATGGGTTGTCATTTGAGGACATATTGTCAGACGTAAATGAAAGCAATCTGGGGGTAGAACTTATTAACAGTGTTCTTTGTTTTAAATGTATCTTAATTGGTGGCCTTGTAAATTGGTACAGTAGTACAAGAAACAGCATAGCAGTTCATATCAAGAGCTGTAAAATTCTAGTAACCTTAATATAGCAATTTTGGGACTAGATGTCCTGTTATATCTTCCAGCCTGAACTGGAAAGATGAAGAAAAAATTTCAGAGGCCATTTGACACTTGTTTTCCTCTTATTTGCTTTTTATTTATTAATTTTTTTACCAGTACATTATATATACACATATATATTATAACATATAATATATGGATAGGTTTTCCATGGTGTCGTAGCAGAGAAACAGGCACAAGGAAAAAGGGAAAGGGGCTTTATTATCTTGGAGGACATGGAGAGAATTTGGGGAGGGTAAGAAATTCTTTGGATTGGGACAAAGGGAGGTGGAGGCTTTTATGGCTTTCTGCCAGGGGCGGGGCTTGAGGGGGATGTCTAGATGTACCTGAGGGGCTGACTGGGCCTTCCCTGAGGTGGCGGGAAGGGTGACAGGAAATGGTATCCTGGGCTGAGTTGGAGAAGAAGGGGGAGGGTGGGCTCTGGGAAGATGAGCTGTTGTTTTAAGGGCTTCAGCCATATTGGATGACCACCATAATAGTTCAGCAATTCATACTAGGGCCAGAACCTATCACATATATAATTTGTTTCCTTAAATAGTAGTTTTTCAAGGATTTACTGTGTTCTTTTATTTAATCAGATTTAGATATAGAAATTATATCTAGGATTTATTTAATAATCATGTCAGGCACTAAATTCTATGTCCTTTTATAAAATTGTTTAATGCTAAACTACTGTGAGATAGAAAATATGACACCGTGTGTAATAAGAAAACTGTAGCCCAAAGAGCTTAATTATTCCAGATTAAAATCTATGTACAAAGTAGCAGTAAGGTTTGACTGCAGACTTGCTACTTCCTGAATCTAGAAATACTTTTTAATGTATTATGTAAATAAATATGTCCTATAAAATAATTTTGTACTTCTTATATGTATTTCTTTATTTATTGCCAGTGAAGGTAAGACTTTGTAAACCAAAAGCATTTAGTAATTTGTAAGCACTTAGAAATGCCGGTACTTTTCCTCCTGCCATCTAAAGTTGGAATGTACTGTATAGGATGCTCTGGTTCCCTATGGTGGAGTTCTCCTCAGGGCTGGTTTTGAAGATGCCTTCAGAGAGAGGTGCTTGGTAAAATCTTCAGCTCACAAAGTTCCTTGTGTTTTTGTAACTGATCGTACAGCTTTTAAAAAAATGTACAATAACAAATGTAAATAGTAAATATTTGTGGTTTGTGTAGATACGACATTGACTTTTACTATTCCCATAATACTATTTTTAAGTACCTTAGGGATGTTTTTAGAGACCATTTGGTCTGATATGAGAAGTTAGAGAATCTCTATGAAGACTCACCACTAATCAAAAACTACTATGCTGAATATGGATTTAATAAATAGGTAAAGCAAATTTCCCATCTTAGTAAAACTGAAATATTTAAATTTCAGGTGACTGACTATAGAGAAATAAAATTTGAGTAACTTGATTTGAATAGCCGTTTGATTTTGTCCCCATTGTTCTTTGGTAGGAAAGGTAAAAATGATCAGAAATCTTAAAATAATGTCTCCTATTTTTCCGTGCTGGGTTGTTTCACTTTTTTTCTCCTCACTTAATTCTTGGTGCCCTCTAAAATAGAATTTATTAGTAAACATTACTTGTTTCTAAGCATTTAAAGGGCAGGGATCTCTTCTCTACTTGCAGTCTCATTAGGTTTTTGTTGTGTGCCACTTTGTCTTTTTATCTTATTTTTAATGTACTTTTTTAGTACAAGGTCTACAGGGACTTACTCCGTAAGTCAGACTCTTAGTTTTCAGCCTCCTAAGCGCTGGGATTACAGTTGCGCGACACCACACCCAGTCTCAATCACTGCTTCAGTGCACCCTGGAGGCAAGGCTGGCACAGCACACTGGGAATCAAACCCTGGTCCCTGCACCTGCCTAAGCAGGAGCCTTCGTCTTCTGAGCATCTACTGAGCTATATAGCCAGCCCCTGTCTTGTTAATCTTTTTGTCTCAGTTTAGAGTCATGAATATGATTATTGGGTGCATATCTTTCTCTCTGCCTAATGCTGTAAACTCTGAGCTCTCTGAGAGCCAAGACTGTGCCATTTAGCTCATCTAAGTGTGTTCTTCTACTTTTTTTATTTTAGGGCAGGGTCTACACAGTGTTCAAAGTCTCACTACTAGATCGGAATTATAGTGATTCTCCTGTTTACAGCCTCCCAAAAGCTGGGATTACAGGCATGTGTCACCACGCCCAGTCTTAGTTGCCCTCTCAGCTCGCCCTGATTGAACCCCAGGCCCCTGCGCCTACTTGCCGGTGCTTTAATCTGCTAAGCTAGTTGGCCGGCCCTTCATCTAAGTCTTGAGCAGTTATCACAGTTATTGAAACAAAAAAGTTCTTAGTAAATGTTTGCTGAGTGACTAAGGTATTTATTATTTTTGCCTTTCCATATATATAGTAGCATTTGATACTATATATTCTTAGAGTTCAGTAAGGCTTTGCTAAGGTAAATGGAAAAAACAAGGTTCCTGCATCTGTATATTTCCTTTACGGTCATTGTGAATTTTATGTGACTGAAGATTATATGTGATCTTAGGTATGTCTTTCTGTGTTGTTCTTCAGTTGATATTAATAATGCCTATAATTTTTCTAGAACTTTAGTATGTGCTAGGCATCATGCTCACCTCTCAGTATACTTGATCTAACTAACTTCAGAAAAGTCCAGTTCACTTTACCATTTTACAGAGGTGGCGATTGAGACTCAGCAAGGACAAATAATTTATCTAAAGCCATTAAGTGAATGCAGAGGGGAGTTAGTATTTAACCAGATTGTCTGATCCTTTAACTTGCTTTTTTATCCTTCATACAATCCCAAGTGATACACAAGCCAGGCAATTCCAGGGTAACTCATGGGAGGTAAGTTGTGTGTGAGTGACTGAAAAGGGTTAGGTAAGTTACAAGAAAAAAAGAGTGACTGTGATCCAGCAATTGCAGTGGTTTTAATAATATGGCTTTGAAAGTACCTTGAGGTTGCCTTTTCTTAGACCTTAAATTAGGCTCTTGGTTTATTCTGAGTTTTTGTACCTTTTTTTTTTTTTTTTCTTGTAGGTTTGAGTGGCCGTTTCTTTGTCACCACCCTCCCAGCCTTTTTTCAGTAAGTTTAAATCAATTTCTGGACTTGTAAAGGTTAAAAATGAGATATATCCCAGGAATGTTGAAATGTTTTCTGTGACTTCTCCTTCAGCAGAATATTGGTGGAAAGGAACTGCACTGCTCTGAATGATAGTGGCCAAAGAGGAGGTGCCTGCAGTGCTGTGGAAAGAGGCAGGGAAGAGGTGGGGAGGAGGCCCAGAGATTCTCATGATTTGAAAGGTGGGGATTCCTATTAGGTAAATAGAGGTGGATTAAGCTGACAAAGTGGAAAAGACCTTTCTAGATAAAAGTGGCACATTCAAGCTCAGGACAAAAGGAGCTTTGAGAATTGTAGCTTGCTGTATTGCCAATCCCTGAGGTGTGGTTGGATCCTGCTGAGTGGTAAGACTAGCTAGGCCCAGATGGTATTGGCAGAAGAAAAAGGAAGAAGTGGATTCCCAGAATACTTAGGAGGTAGGGTCATTGGGTTTGGTGACTGATTATCCATGGGAGGGAAGAGTTTCATGATGACTGTGAATAAGCCACGTTAGTAAGTGCTGTTGTGGGCCTGCAAGATAAGGAAGCCTTAGAGTAAGATGAGCTTTGGGAGATAAAGCCAGAATGGAGAAAATAGCGTGAAGTGCCTGTGCTAATTAATTCCAGATGGAGAAATTTAGGTGACAATTTGATGTCATAATCTAAAGCTCAGAAGGAAGATCTAGTTGAAGATGGATACGTGGATTTTGTTAGCATTAAAGCACATAACATTTGAAATGTTCCTGTATTTACAGAGAACATATACAATGAAGGAGAGGCAGGTAAAGGATAGAACCCAGGATTGACCAATGTTATCACGTCTGTCTTCAGTGAGTAAAGGAATTAGAAGGGATTATCAGAATAGTAGGAAGAAATTCAGAGATCTCAGGACCTAAATGTCAAACTAAATGGACCAGGGGCTCCCTCAGTGGTGGAGCACGTGCCTAACATGACCAAGGCGCTGGGGTCTGCCCCCTACACCGAGGCAAGGGGTCAGGCTGAATGAGAAAGGATGTTGAGTCAGAAAATGCCCCATGAGTTCTCTATGGATGTGGCACTTGGGAATCACTGGGACCCTCAGTCTGAGCAGGGCTACTGGCATCCTGGGGGCAGAACCCCCAGTCTTACTAAGTAGCAGATGAGTGCTGAGAAAGAGAAGATGGCCCATAGAGACCTTTCCCCTGGGACACTTGACTTCTGTGATAGTGAAAGGGTGGGAGAAGAAAGGGTGTAGGAGGAAACAGAGTTGATGTTGGTTTTGAGCTAGGGGCTTGAACAACGTCAATTTGGAAATGTGGATACAATTTTTAACCCCCAAATAATGGCTACTATGATAAAAAGTAAAAATAATTGGTAGCACATAATAAAAAATAACTTGCTAGAGTAAGGATCACCATAAACTTTGCTTATGGTTACAAATTCTATAATAATAAAGTGGTATGTTTAGTACTTTGCAGCTTTCAAATTCCTTATTTGTAACACTAAAATCTATACATGCCTTCAGATTTATGCTTAAGCATAATTTTCTTCATTTGACCCAGTTGAAAATTTTGGTGGCATTAACATGTATGACCAATAGTTAGTTATTTTATTATCTGTAACAGATAATAAAATCTGTAACACCTGTTATTTGACTTTTTTTTTTTTTTTTTTTTTAATCTGTAGTGCAAAAGATGGGATATTCCGCCGTTACCGAGGCCCAGGAATCTTTGAAGATCTACAGAATTACATCTTAGAGAAGAAATGGCAGTCAGTTGAGCCTCTGACTGGCTGGAAGTCCCCAGCTTCTCTAACGTAACTCATTAATTTTTTTGTGATACAGTGCTATAAATAAAACAGTGGTGGGCCGGGGAGGTGGCTCAGTGGAATAAGCGCTTCCCTGGCAAGCGCAGGGGTCTGAGTTCAATCCCCAGTTCCGCAAAAAAAAATAAAACTGTGGTATCAAGGTAGCCTGTGGCACTTAAAAGCTCGCATTTCCCCCCATCATCACCTACAGTTACCTAGCCCATCCCGTCCATGATTGGCCTGAGTAGTGTTTCTGGTTTTGTGGATGTTTCAGGTAGTTTTTAGTCAGCTGAGAATTAAATAACCAGATACGTTTGAGTGACAAAAAGATTTTCTTCCAGCATTTGCTTGAAGCTGTACCAACCGTTTCTTCTCTACAAAACTTGGTAATGAACATCAGTAGTTACTGTTTTCTTGTAAATTATTGGTAAGGTGCATAAGCAGCTCTTTCCTGAATTACGGTCTCTGAAGGAGTTGCTATTATATCTTACATGGAAAATAAAACCTATGATATTTTAGGCCACCTCACACAGTATTGCTGAGATAAGTTTTGGCTGTGGTGGCAAACTGTATAAGAATACTTGGTATAGTACAGCTGAACTCTGATAACTTTTTTCTATGTTGGTTTTAATTTTGAATGGTCATATTGTAATTAATTTTAGTTTAGTCAGGTTTAGAACTATCCCTACTTACGTAGGACAGATGATATGATGTTTCAGAAGTAAATAATTTAATGGCATTTATATCAATACTCAGGAAGCATAGAGTTTACTCTAAAAGCAACTCACTTCTAGCATTTTATTCTTTAAATAGGTGAGCACTGATTTTGTGCCAGATTGTGTTTTAGGTGCTAGGCACTCATCAGTGAGCAAGACACTCATGGCCCCTTAACTCCCTTCAAGTAAACTTTTGAGTAGGCAAGAGTAGGAAAGAATCAAGAACACTAAGAAGCATAAGCTGGATGGGGCAGTTAAAAATCAACGTACTTTACTAAGAAAGGGAGAGACTGGAGTCGTAGGCCCACCTTAGGTAGAGTGCTTAGGAGAGGTTCCTGAGAGGGGAAGAGTACAAGTAAGAAAGATCTGGCTGGGATAAAGATCAGGGAGATGAATATTCCCAGGAAGAGTGCAGCATGCGCATAGACCCCAGCCTGGGAAAGCGCTTTTTCTGCCTTGGGAGTCTACTGCCATGCAGGGGGAGCCCAGGGTCAGGGAGGGACAGTGGTATGAGCTGAATGAGAGTCGGTGATACAGGACTGCAGTGAGAAGCTGACTCGTGAGGGAAGTGAGTTGAGAGGGCAAGAAGGAATGAGGAGGGGCAGAGTCTTTCATGATATCCAGCCGCCGCACGCCAGAGGAGGGTGGCAGCAGTGGAGATGGAGCATGAGTACATTTAAAATACATTTGAATAAGTGCCTAAGGTGAACCAAGGGTGAGAGTTCTTAAGGAAAAACTCCAGGGTTTCATGTTTGAGTACTTGGTATCAGCTACTGATTTTGGCCAAGAGCAAGCTAAGGATTCTGGTTGGATTTGAAAAGTTTGAGATGCAGACTTTATAGAGATATGAAGCATGGAGATGAGTCTTCATGAAGAATTTAGGAAAATTTAGGTGGAGTTCAAGAGCCTTAGGAAAGAAGCAGCGGAGCATCTAGAAAGAAAGAAAAAAGAGGCATGCTTGGGATTGATCCCTGAGCCACTCCTGAATGAAGACATTGGGTAGAGAATGAGTCAGCACAAGGAAACCAAAAACAATTACTTAATGAGGCGGGCTGAAAAGAAATAATGTACTGTTTTCTTAAAGCCAAATAAAGAGTGCTCAGGAAAGAAAGAGTAGTTACTTGTGCTAAGTTTTAACCAGGAGGGAAAAGACCAGGTCTGGTCACCTGGACATAGAGTAAAGCAAAGTGAGGTCATCCTGGCCTTGGTGAGCTGTTGTAATGCAGTGGTGAGCTAAGTCAGGTTTGAGTGGGTTAGAGCTGTGACGCAGAAGAAATGGGGAGTAAGGTCCCCTCCTGGGAGAATTTTTTTTTTTTTTTTTTGTGGTACTGGGGATTGAACTCAGGACCCTGTGCTTGCCAGGCAGGCACTTATTCTTATTCTACTAAGCTATCTCCCCAGCCCGAAAATTTGTTAATTGTGCTTTTTTTTTTTTTTTTGCGGAACTGGGGATTGAACTCAGGCCCTTGCACTTGCCAGGGAAGCACTTATTCTACTGAGCCATCTCCCCGGCCCTAATTGTGCTTTAAGGTGGAAGCCAGGAGAGCATGTTTCCGTGCTGAGGAGACTAATGAAACAGATACAGAGAAATTGCTGACATAGCAGAAACAGATAACAGAAAGAAGCAAGTCATGACCAGAACACGAGGGCTAAGATTCAAGCCCAAGTGAAGGGATTGAACTGTGGTGGGGCTGGTAGACTTTCCTGTTGAAAGGATCTGAGAAGGGATGTGCAAATGTGCACCTGGCTTAGATTTGGTGGCAGAATGGCCACCATAAAGAGTGATGCATGAAGATTGGTACATGAAGTGTGCTTGTTGGCTCAGAGTCCTTGGGCAGGGAAGGATGCATAAGGCTTAAAAAGTGGGAAAAGGAAATGAGCTGTTATCTCAAAGCCTAAGTGTGCAACTGGGTAGTAATTGACCTTCCCTTTTATGTGGGAGTCAGCTGTTTGGCTGTTTGGGGTTGGGGTTTTGTCAAGTACGGAAAGTGAAGAGATAAAGGGCCAAGGAATGAGAGTGTATTTTCAGCAAAATGAGTCACTTGACAGCCTTCGGCCTTCGAATCTAAACTCTTTAACAGTAGAGGTGAGTGGAGGAGAGAGCAATAAACAGCAGCAAATAGCAGGATCAGTGGAGGGGGAAGTGCCACCCACACGAGCTTTTGTTTTGCTTTGTTTTTCATGCCACATGTCGCCAGTGCTTCCCTCTTTTATCTTTTTTTTTCTTTCTTTTTTTTTTAGGATGTCTGGAATGGCTGGCCTTTTCAGCATCTCTGGCAAAATCTGGGTGAGTAATCTTAAAGCCATTATAATTATATTTGCAGAGGGATTTTAAAGAATAGAAGTACAGTTTCTAAAGAATAGGAAAATACATGTTTATAAATACTTCTGTAATTCTTTGGTCTTAAGCCCCACAACTACTCTCAGCCAGGGTGTACCTGGGGTAATGTGTCTGTGTGCAAACGGCCTCAGTTGAGCAGTGCCCTGTCGCAAGTATGTTGAAGTCACATTTTCTTAGATCAGCGCTGGAGTCCTTATCAAAGCAGAAGGCCTTGTGTAGTTTTACTCTATCTTATGCTCCCATTGGCACATCTTTTACAGATCAAAGACTGTCAAAGCCTGAAAGTAGTTCTGTATGTCAGCAGTCAGTGAACTACAGCCTGTGGGTGGGCTTCCTATTTTTGTAAACAAAGCTTTATTTGAAGACATCTGTCATCAGTGACTGCTTCTGTACTGCAGTGGTGGAGTTGAGTAAGTTACAGAGGCACAGAGAGTTGTGACCTGCGGTTACTTAGTTACTGTCTAGCCTTTAGGGAAAAGTTTGCTGACCCCTGCTATCTGTGACTTTAGTTCTTTTAGTATGTTGTTCAAGTTAAAATATAGAGCTATTGCATAATCTTGTGTATGTTCTGTAACCTTTAGTTTCTCTTCTCTGTAGAGGGGGTTGAATCCAACAGACTTAGTACAAGTGCCCTGGAATTAAATACATTTATAATAACTCTTTAGACATGAACTCCTATATATGTCTTTTCTAAAATATCATTATCGGTTATTAAGATTCTTGGAGCTCATGAAGATTGTTTCTTATGCACATTGATATAAGGGAAATTTAAGATCTATGTTTTGTATTCCAGGTTCTTATTATATGTTCTGTCTTGTGGGATAAATATTTCTTTTTGTTGTTGTTGTTGTTCATTTTTTTACAACTGATGCTAATCAGAAACTTGGATTCAGCCTTTTATGGTTAAATTTTAACTGGTTTCCTATTTTTTTTTAGCATTTGTTTATCTCATTAAATACCACAGTAAATAGTATTACCTTCTCCAGATTGTTTCATGTGATTTCATTGTGTTCTTTTATTGATGCCGTAATAAGTTTAATCAAAAACTGAAAATTATGGTTGTAAAGTGGGAGTTGAGTGTAGGAGATTCTGACTTTTGCAGTATGTTGACATTAAATGCTGATGAAGTCATATTTTCTGAAGGCTGAGTCTTGTAACACTGTAATGTCTAATTCTGTAGGACAGTTGTAATAAATGGATGTCAGATGGCATTGACAGGAAGCTCTTAGTGCAGGACCAATGGTAAAAACAGATTAGGAAGAGCTGAGATGGAAGTTGTCATAGCCATCACAGGTAGATGAAGAGAAATCCTACTTTCAGACTGTATCAGGGAAGAGATATAGCTACTACACTTTGGAGTTGAGTGCTTGACTTTCTATGCAGAGACCTACTCCCACTACATCATCAGGCCCCTGGTTCCCGCTTCTATTTCAAGGCCCTGACCTTGCTGCCCTTACTTGGCTAGGCCTAGAAGACTGTCCCAGCTGCTGGGTGAGCTCATTTAGCTGGCTCTTCTTTCTACTCAGAAACCTCACATCAAGACTGAATCTATAATTTTGTTGAATGTAATTTTAACTCATGTAGAACTGCATGCCACCACATTAGGTAATGAATAGAAGGAAAATTGGCCATGGGGGGAACAGATGGGACAGTGACAGACCATAGGGAAGGCTAAAGCTGGAGAGAGTGAAGTCTCGAAAAAGAAGATAAAGCCATGCAAGTGAGAAGGGCATAGCGTGGCTGATACCGGTGAGGTCAGCTTGTTGAAGTTAACTGTAATCTCTCTTATCTTGCTGAGATTTTGTGGGTACAAAAGGCACGGAAGTTTGACTTTCCTGAGCCATCAACCCTCCCACATGGGTGGCTGGTTAGATATAAATATTTCCAAAGAGAAAGATGCAGGTTATTAATGGGAGAATCAAAACTAAACAATATGATTGTGTATAGAAAAATACGTACAGAGAGATCAAGTAGATACCAACAATGTTTTTCCCTAGTATCGGAATTAGGGCAAATTTTTTTTCAGCCTTCATCATCCTTTTTTATAATTTCTAATGTTTTGGTAATGAGAAAGAAACAATGAAAACAGTAGCAGTATCTAGAAGATCAGAGCCTGCTGCTAGTGATTCCTTAAAGTCCTTGAAGTTTCTGCTGCAAGGAGGATGCCGACTCACTTCTCTGACATTCTAGGGATGACAGCTGGTCTTGGGAGGGGAGGGATGTGGGTTTACCCACATGACTGAATTTCTGTGATTTCAGGGGTATCATTTGGCCTTACATTAACCATCCGTATTTTCCTGCTTGAATAAACTTTTGAGTGAGGAAGTCCTTTGAAATAGCCTGATCATACAGCTGCTGTGAGCTTCCTATAGTTATCGTGACTCCCAGGATTCACTGATAGGTAACTTTTCTGGGGGTGTGGGCTATCACTGTTCAGTTCAGGTTGGGGTAATTTGTACCATTGTATGGAAAAGAGATCATCTTCATTGTGCTTTGTATCAATAAATTCAAAAGTGTCTTCTAATCTAGTCATGACATTCACTTGTGTGCCTTAATCTTTACAGAAACGCACAGAAATAATTGATAGTCAGCTATAGCACTGGCCTCATGATTAGTCTTCACACAACATGTTCTCCCTTACAGAAAGTCACTGGAGCCTAGGAGCTCCATGTCTTGGGTAGTCTCAAAATACTATTATGGTAGTACTACAAAATTTCTTTAACAATTTTTATAGGTTACTGTCTCAGTTACTTTTCTATCATTGCTGAGACAAAATACCCAACATCCAGAATTAAGAAAGGAAAGGTTTATTTAGCTCACAGTTAGTGGAGATTTCAGTCCATACTCGGCTGGCTTGAACAAAGAGTGGCTGGCACATAGCAGAGAACATCTGTTCATGGTTGTGGAAAACAGCAGAGAGCAAAGGGAGGACCAGCAGCTGTGGCAGCTAGTAAGCCTCTTTCCCTTCCTTGTATTTGTATGCAGATTATCTGCCCTGGGCAGGTGTAGCACTCACACCCATAATCCCAGCACTATTTCCATCCATAATCCCAGCATTGGATCATGAATTAATCACAGACTCCAGAAGCTGCCCCATGACTGCATGAGGCTATGGGGGGACAACTAGACACAAACCATAACAGTCTTAAAAAGTGACTCAAAAGTTTGTCTCAGTTACTCTTCTCTTGTTGCTGGGACACATACCTGACACTCAAATGAAGGAAGGAAAGGTTTATTTAGCTCACAGTTACTGGTGATTTCAGTCCACACTCAGCTGGCTCCAAGGGAGAGCAGCACGTGGCAAAGAGCAGGGAGCAAAGGGAGAGGCTGCAGTTCAGGCAGCTAGCTAGCTTCTTTCTGCCTCCTTCCATTGTAATGCGAGTTACCTGCCCTAGGGCAGGTGCAGCATCCATGCCCAGAATAATCAGTCACACACTCCAGAAGCTGCCTCAGGACTGCGTGAAGCTTTGGGGGGACAACTAGACACAAACCATAACAAAGTAGTTCCCAAAAAGTGACATAATGGGAATGTTACTACTACGATGAGAGGCACAAGGTAAGGTGAATGTCATGAATATGATGTGGGGAAGGCTGCTGTGTCGGTTGTCATAGAATCAGGTGTCCTGGAGGACTGAAGTTCTGTCCATGGCATGTGTGGAGAGACTCCCAGACTTCTTGTCTCATCTCTTCACAGTCAGCTGTGGTGCTGCAGAGGGGCCTGTCTGCTGTTGTAAGAACACAAGCTACTCCTCCCCACCCCCGTGAGCATGGCTGTGAGCCATTTGTTTTCCTCTCACAGGCTGTTGTTACCAGAACTCAGTGTGCTCAGCATGAGACCTGTCACCTAGGATGTACTTGACAACTGCCTTTTGTTATAGTCATTAATCATTGTTGTCTTTGTGTTTCTCTTCTGGTTTTAGGTAACACCAGAAACTTTATTCTTTATTGTTCTAACCAAGGCAAATAATAGGCTCAAGGTATAATTTGATGGTACTTGCATTTTGTTAACTAGATTAGTACTTATTTATAAAGCATTTTTGTATCAGATTTAGTGAATCTGTACTGCTTAAAGCGATAATATGGGCTATGACTTACCTGTACTGTGTGTTGCTGTTAGGAAAAGATGTGGGCATAAGTGTGTGCATCCTTGGGAAGACAGTCTGTGTGATACGTACTGTCTCTTCCCTTGTGATTAGAATGATGTGTAACAGAAGAATTAAGGCTTTCTAAATACCTGATGATGAAAAGGAAAGGCTGTGAGTGTGTAGCCTGGAGAATAGCGCTGTATTTTAACACTTGAAAATACCTGTGATTTAGATAGAAATATCACTTCTCTTACTGTTTTCCCCCTTATAAAAATGTCTAGCTGTTTTGTCATATGTCACAATGGGACAGTGCCCATCCACAAGGTAATTCACTGAGTGTACAAGCTATTGTAGGGGTAGAGGGAGAAGGACTTCCTGGCTCCTCCTAGAGGAGTCTTTTCTAGCTGCTCCCAGGCAGGGAGATGCTTGGGCGGTTCTGATATGTGTGTGAAAAGGCCTGCGGGCTTGTGCTCAGGATATACATCGTATGATACAGGCAAGCTCTAAATCCAGAGGCTTTCTTCCCTTTAGGGACAAAGCTACTTTGAATCAGACAGACCAGGCAACACTGGGCTGCTTTCTGGGTATGCCCGAATGGTTCTTAATCCCCCTGTAATACTGGCTGAAGTCTTACAGGCTGGATTAAAACCCTGTTCTGTCCAAAGGAGGTTTTCCCCTCTGGCTGTGGAGGCCTGGGCATGCTGTTTCTTAAGTCTGTCTAGCTGAACAGTCTCATTTATTAAGATGATGTTTTCATTCACTTGAGTCTGTGTGTAGCCAAAAGTTAGCTCAGACTTAGTCACCTGGTATAATGTATAGTACAGAGTGTCATGCCCATCGGGTGACATTTTAGTGCATTTGCAGTAAACAGTAGATCACTTGTAATGAATGTATGTAATATTGAACAAGAATCAGTGTTTTGCACAAGTGAAAACTAATTCTACAGAAATTAATTAAACAGGACATATAAATCTAAAATTGAGGGAGGCCAGATTGGTTATCACCTTGGAAATATACATACACACACACATACACACACACACACACACACACACACACACACGTACATAACACCATGAATCCTAATATTTGTGTTTTAAAGCCATTATGAGCTCAAATGCATAAAAGATTTATGTCTGTATTTTTTTCCATAATTTTATTGAGAAATAGCAAAGAGACAATTTCAAACCAAATTGGTAGGACAGTTTCAATAATTAACACATTGCATACATTCTTCCTAGTGATTATTTGCT